AGCCATAATGTTATGTTAAAAATGAAGATCATCAGATTCCTCCTTTGCCTCTTCTCAAAGCCCATTGCTCTCAGTATAAAATCCAAAAGCTTTCCTAATCCTCCAAAATCTGTTAACATCTCTGACCTCATCTACTCATGTTCTTCTTTTCTTATAGTACCCAGATATTTTAGTTTCATGTCTTAAACAATCATCTGATCGTACCTCAGTAACTTTGCACTTACTGTGCAAGGAACACATTACCTTCTAAGTAGCTGTTGCCCTAGAAATCCACATGATCCCCTCACTACATTAACATCTCCTCTCATATTCCACCTTAACAGAGAGGTCTTTCCCAAATGTCTTGCCTAAATGATATGCTCTCTAACCTCTTGCCCTGCATTGTTTTTTTAATAGCACTTCCACCTGACATATATTTGTTTATTGTTTTCTCCACGCACCACTCCTGAACAAGTCAGGATCTTAAAGAGATGCTTGTACTTTCATGTTCTTTGAAGCATTATCCACAATAGCCAAGATATGGAAACAACTTAAATGCTAACTGACAAAGAAATCGATAAGCACATGTGATATATACATACAATGTAATATTACTCAGCTTAAAAAAGAAAGGAGATTTTGCCATTTGTCACATGGTTGGACCTGAAGGACATTATGTTAAGTGAAATAAGCCAGACACACAAAGGCAAACAATTTATAATCTCACTTATAGGTAGAATCTAAAATAGACAAACCTATAGAAGCAGAGAGTAGAATGGTAGTTGCTAGGAACTGAAGGGAGGGGAAAAATAGGGACTAACGGCCAAACGGCATAAGGCTTCAGTTATGCAAGATAAATATATTCTGGAGACCTACTATATAGTATAGTGCCTATAGCTAACAATCATATATACTTAATATTTACTAAAAAAGTACATCTTATGTTGTATTCTTACCACAATGAATAAATAAATAAATAACAATAAAGGAGTCAGGAGGAAACTTCAGAACGTGATGGATATATTCATTACCTTCATGGTGGTGATGGTTTCATATGTGTATACTTTTCCACAAATTCACTGAGTTGCACACATTAAATATGTATAGTATTTAAACATTTTCAGCTTTGCTGAGGTATAAATAACAAATAAAATTATAAGATGTAAACATGATAATTTTGTATATGTATACATTATGAAAGGATCCTCCCTCATCAATTTAATTAACACATCCATCTGCTTCATACTTACCTTTTAGAACATTTAAGTCCTAATCCCTTAACACATTTCAATAATACAATACAGTGTTATCAATTATAGCCACTAAGCTATACACTAAATCCTCAGATCTAACTCATAACTGAAGGTTTGTACCCATTTACCAACCTCTGTCTATTTCCCCAATTACCCATTCCTGATAGTCATTTTCTACCTTGTTTCTATAAGTTCCAGATGTTTTCTGGGTTTTTTTAGATTCCACATAGAAGTGCGTTATATTTCTTTGTCTGGCTAATTTATCTTAGCATAATGCCCTCAAGTTTCATCCATGTTGCCACAAATGGCAGGATTTCTTCTTCTTTTTTAAGGCTGAATAATATTTTATATTTTATTGAATACATATACCACGTTTTCGTTATTCATCTGTCAAAAGACACTTTGATTGGGGTGCCTGGGTGGCTCAGTCGGTTGGGCGGCCGACTTCGGCTCAGGTCATGATCTTGCGGTCCGTGAGTTCGAGCCCCGCGTCGGGCTCTGTGCTGACAGCTCAGAGCCTGGAGCCTGCTTCATATTCTGTGTCTCCCTCTCTCTCTGACCCTCCCCCGTTCATGCTCTGTCTCTCTCTGTCTCAAAAATAAGTAAACGTTAAAAAAAAATTTAAAAAAAAAAAGACACTTTGATTGTTTCAAAATCTAGGCTATTGTGAATAATGTTGGAATGAACCTGGGAGTCTTTTGGAGCAAGGCCACACCACCTTTTGGAGCAACTATTCTATTTTCAGCAAGAACTAGCTTTTTACTGGCTTCTGGCAATAACAGGTAACCATGAACCAAAGCAACTCATTCTGGACTGGGGATTATCATGTTTATACAGCCATGAAGTTAGGCATTTCCAGCAGTAATCTATTATCCATTAGAAATCATGTATACAGAGTGGAAACCCTGCCCCCATTAAGACTTCAAAGGCAAAAGTCCGATCCATGGATGGTTTCTTAATGTTTGCAAATATAGTTCCACCTATCTAGCTGCCACCTTTCTTTGAATTTGTGTGTTTTGCTTGAAGGGGTAACTTGAGACCAGTTGACACAAAAGAATAAAACTCAAGGCCAGATTACCAATGACCCAGTATCAGTGAAAAGTGAGCTATGTAACATTAGAGTGTGTCTCAGCCATGGTCAAAGAAGACAACTGGAAAGGAAATTTCTCATTGGCCATTGTGCTTCCTAGAAGTTTGGCCTGAGGACAGTCCTTTTTTCCTTATATAACCTGTTATTGGTTTTGATTTTCCTCTCATGTCTAATATGCCTCAGAAAGTACTGCTACCCATGGGCTTACTGAATATTTTATTTACTACCATAAAATGCTACACAGCCCTTCTTCTAACCAAGTAATTTGTTTCAAAATGAAAAAAAAAGGCAATAGGTACATATTACATCAGGGATTTTACACTTCCTTATTATTCATGGGTAGTAGACGTTGAAAGATTGGCCTATTGAGAATTCCACCCGAACATCAGCTGAGGGACACTGCTACATAATTTGGTGTACTGATTGCAGGAGGTGATATATTGGCTGATCCATAAGTCAACATTTACATTCTCTTCCATTTGCTGAAACTCCCTTCTAGCCATTTGAGTCTTTTGTGACTCTAGAGCAGCCTTTCTAAGCAGAAAGGCTATCATCATATTGTCTCAAATGATCAATTCTGACCATCAGGAGAAAAATAGAGCTACCGCCACACGGTAAGGTCTGGAATGTAAGTGCGCTGCTGTCTCTATGTTTTATCATTCCCTGAGGTAAAAGGCATTGAGAAACTACAACTTCATGCAATTGGATTTTCAAGGACTCAAATCCCTCATAATTTTTCCGACTGACAAACTCTGCTACAGACTACAAAGAAGAACTAGCTGGAATGAGTGACAGACATGAAGGAAAGTTAAGAGCCTTGGGACTAACTATAGAAGTGACACTTGTAATATACACCTGTATTTAGCTATTGTTCATCTTTTGTTGGTAGGTACTACCAGTGATATACTAATATACCAACTTTTTCTTTCCCCATCATTGGGCATAGTGTTTAATGATGGTTAAATTTACCGTCAGTCCAGTTTACATAGAAAGGTGAGTAGTACATAAAAGGTTTATGATAAATTAGGTTGGGGAGGTGTTAACAACTGTACATTTTTTATTAAGGTAATTAATGTTGTGGGGCACCGGGATGGCTCAGTTGATTAAGCCTCTGACTTCGGCTCAGGTCATGATCTCACAGTTCAAGAGCTCGAGCCGCACGTCAGGCTCTATGCTGACAGCTTGGAGCCTGGAGCCTCCTTCAGATTCTGTGTCTCCCTCTCTCTCTGTTCCTCCCCTGCTTGCGTTCTGTCTCTCTCTCTCTCTCAAAAATAAACATTAAAAAAATGATAAAAAATAATAAAAATTAATGTTGTGCAAGGCACATTTAGAAATCTATGTATAGGAAGAAAATATGTGTGTGGGCAGCAAAGTGTGTAGAATGTACTGAAGATGATAGTCATGACATTACGAAACCTCAACTTCTCCTTCTAGCTAACTACCTCAATGGTATATAAATACAAAGACAGAAGTGGGTTAGGGGGAATGACACTTAGTTCAGTTTTAGTCTTGTCGAGTTTGTTCTATCTATAAACCATCCAGCTAGAGGTGTGGATTCAGAGCTGTATCAATGTGTCTGTAATTCAGAGAAGAGCTGAGGGCAGGAGACATAGACTGGAAATCCTCCTCTGTGTATAAACACAACTACTTGTGTTGATGAAATCATCCAAGGGGCATGAATAGAAGAGAACAGGAACATGATGAAACTTTGGAGAATTGAAATTTGAAGGACTGGCAAAAGTGAGGGCAAGTCAAGAGCCTTGGGAGCTCCACAAATGTAGGAGCACTATTAAAACTGATGTCACAGTGGGGCACCTAGCTGGCTTAGTAGGAATAGTGTGCAACTCTTGATCTCAGCATAGTGAGTTCGAGCCCCACATTGGGTGGAGAGAGGACTTAAAAATAAAATCTTTAAAAAAATGATGTCACAAAAACAAGAAAAATGTTTTAAGTGGGAAAGAGTGATGGGTGTGTGGGTAGGTCAATAGGATAAGCGTCTGACTTGGGCTCAGGTCAGGATCTCGCAGTTCATGAGTTCAAGCCCTGTCTCGGGATCTATGCTGACAGCTCAGAGCCTGGATCCTGCTTTATTCTGTGTCTCCTTCTCTCTTCCTCTTCCCCACCCGCGCTTTGTTTCTCACTTTATCAAAAATACATAAACATAAAAAAAAAACTTTAAAAAAGGTGAAAATAGCATCAGACCCGACTTTTTTTTTTTTTTTTTTTTTTGAGAGAGACAGAAACAAAGTGTGAGCGGGGGAGGGGCAGAGAGAGAGGGAGTCACAGAATCTAAAGCAGGCTCCAGGCTCCAAGCTGTCAGGGCTTGAACTCATGAACCGTTAGATCATGACCTGAGCCAAAGTTGGACACTTAGCTGACAGAGCCACCCAGGCGTCCCAATATCAGACCTTACTTAAAGAATTTTGAGGCTGCTGGTGTCCTAAGCAGAGAAGTTGTCATAGAATGAAAGGGGCGATGTAATTGGCATAGAAAAGTGGGGGAAGGGAACAAAAACATAGTTTCAATAAGTTTAACTGTGAAGGGAAAGGACGAAATAGGATAATGGCTTCATGAGATAAAGAGTAGAAGAAAAACATTTTGGAGAGGCATGATATGACTCAGTTTCTCATTGAGTTGTAGCATTCTTATTATTATCAATAAAAACATACGCTCATGAATTGCTTGAAAACTTGTATTTATTTTTCACATCCAGTCAACAAGAGAACAAAATGCCTCAGAATGAGAATTCACACTTTGAGTGAGATACAAATGTTTAGTTATTCTATTTTAGTGATTTTTGTGCATTTATAAAATAAATACCTGGCCTGTTATACTTGGAAAGGTGATACTGGTGTTAACTGACTGTTGGGAGTGTAGACTGTTTGCACATATCTAAGCAAGAACATGCCGTGATGTGCCTATATCTGTAAGGTATTGTACTGCCATTAGGACAGTCGAGAAAAATTTCCCGGAATTCGTACTTATCTTCTTGGCAGCAAAGACATGAATTTGCCAGCTGAAAGATATGATAATTGTACCTAAAGGAAAAGAATATTTAGCAATAAATATTTTTGGGATAGCTTCTGAAACAAATTGACATCAATGCTCAAATTATAATTGTCTAAGCGATTTAGCAATCCTTCCAACCAATTTCTTCTTTACCTATACTTTGCATTTCCCTCTCACCATGAACTTCTGATGTGGATCAGTGATAATTGGTATGTAAGACAAAAGAAATCCAAAATGGAAATTTACAATCTTATAATTAGAATGTTACGTGAAAAAATATAAACATATTTTTAAATATACAACTTCATACCAAATTATTATTTTCTATATATTAATCTACACATGAAAGTGTTAATGAACGAAAAACAATATATATTATGTCTAAAATGCAAGTGACAGTTTAAAAACACATTTTTAAGCAAGACTATCTGCTTAAGTACTATCAGTAATTACTGTGTGAAAATAAATACATTTGCTATGAATGTATTAGGTTTGATTTATTTAGAAGGCTACTTTAAAACCATTCACTACTGTTGAAAATGTTTATTTTATTTCTAAGATCTTAATGTCTTAGATATTTGTTTCATCAGGTTTTGATCATTAGCTCTCATGTAAAAAATGTTCCATGTAATTTTTAAAACTTAATTTCCTCCACAATGTTACAAAATTAATGCACAGTACACATTCAAAGAAACACTCACCTGACAGTGTTCTTACATTCCCCTACACATCTTGCCATCTCAAGTTTTTTCTGGCAACCACGGTACTTAACAGTCACATTCACAAGTGAAGATCTACAATTAGTATTACCTAAAACAAAATGATAATAGAACCAGAAATGAGGTTTAACATTAGCAATTGCTAAGTCTCAGTTTTCTGAACCTTTAGTGGAGAATCATAACAAAAAATACTTCATAGTGTTGTTGAAGGGTTTAACTACTTCAGCACCCAGCACAAGGTACCTGGTTAGTATTCAATAATTATGTTTAATAAATGTTATCTTTTCATTAGTGCTATCATTATTATCATAGGAGAAAGAGGAGGGAGGCAACAAGGAGGAAGGGAGGAGAGAATGGGGGAAGGGAAGATGGAGCTGAATGGATTGTTTCTGACCCATTTCTCATTGTTGACCATTCTTATTATCTAATGTATCAGTTTACAACACAACCTGCTTATATTAGAGAGCAAACTATATTTTTTTTTCATGAGAATCAAATTTCTTCCTTGTAAACACCATTGTTTTTTACTGGGAAGAATGTTTCAACCAACATGAAAAAGTATAATACATAACGTAGACATATCAATTGTTAGTTTCTGCATATAGGTTAGATGACCTGTTATGTTAAAAACACAGGAGACTTTCTATTAATGATCTGACATTTTGTTTTAAAGAAACACTAAATTTTTGTCAACTGTTGACATTTCCTCTACATGTGGAACCTAATGTTACTTACATGTATAGCAACATTTGTTTGAATCATAGACTCTGTCTTCCTATAGGGGTAAGAAAAATAGAAAAAAGACTTAAAAACATAAGTATATTACTGAACTTACTGAAATTACAAAGGGGAAAATGGAACAGATAAATATGCTGATCTCAGATCCAGGAAGCATGGATGAGAGAGCATAATAATAAAAATGAGTCTGAATATTTACACTAAAAATTTTCAACCGTAGGGAGAAAGGGAAAAAATATCTAAAATGAAGTCTTCTTTAAAATAACATGCAAGAAAGTAAAAAAAAAAAATAATCCTCCCTTATATTAATTGAAAAATACTTTAATACTGATATTACTACTAGACACTGTAAGTTTCTTACAGACAGGATTTTAACTTTACACATTAAAACTCAATAAATATTTAAATCCAACATTGGAGTACTGAAATCAAACTTTAACTATATTATCACTTATATCTTCAGAAAGAAAAATTAGTTAAGTTTGATCTGGTGAGCATTTATTATTAACTAATTTAATTAAGACTTAAGCTTAAAACTTAGCATTTACTAATACAAAATCCTCACCATATGGTGGAGGACAGTAAAAATGAAGACTGTGGCATAAAGAAAGAGCTGAAAAGTACACTTAATGTGATTTTATGAAAACTTTGTATTTTTATAAGAAATGATTAACCCGAATCCATGAGCCTTAAAAAAAAAACAAGGTTGGTGTGTTTTGGGTTTTTTTTTTTTTTTTTTTTTTTTTGGTTTGTTTAAAAGTAGCAAAATGCTTTCTAAAGTAACATACTTCTTCTAGAATAGCACTAGATTAAGCTTCACGGAGCCTGCAAATATAACTTTGATATGAAAAATATACTTGGCAATAAAAGGTGTGAAACAGATCTGGAATGGAATCCATAAGAAATTTATGTCTGTTGGCCAGACAGACTTTTCCAAATGAGAAAGAAGACAGATTGTGTTTATATTTAACATAAGAAGTGGATGTTGTTGATCATTACTTAAGAAGATAACTTACTTCTGCACACCAGGTCTGCTTTGGGCAGTCCTGGACCACTGCGATGAAACCAGTGCTATGGCAGGAGTAGGAGATGCATGGATTGCTGGGGTCATCAAATGAAGCACCAATCTGGGAGGCAGAGAGGAAGAAAGAAGAAAGGAGTTATTCATCTTGATTTCTTGTTGAGGTTGAAAATAAAAATCTGTAAAAAAAAAAAAAAAATTCAAATTCAGATTGTTAAGTGAATTTCCAGAGGTACCTTCAGTCACTAATTAATATTTAAGAAAAGTGAGTTAAAAGCTGCCTACTTCCATGAATAAATCAATATGCCTCCTTGAGAGCACAGACTGTGAGTCAAGATTCTGAATCCTCAAGTGAAAATTCACATATTCTATTCACCTACTCAGTCACTGTATTATATTTTAAAAATATTTTCAAGAAAGGTTGTATTATGATAACAGGAAATCAACCAATTGTTATGCTCTAAATTTGAGGGAAAAGAAGTAATCTAAGTAGAAAAATTGGCACAAAATAGTTTTATCAGATTACTACAAATGATAAATGATAACAAATGATATATCCCACGAGACATCCTACCTCTACTTCTGATTATATACTTGTAAAGTTCTCTGGATTGCTTTAAAAATAATTTATGTTCGAAATTCAAATGCCAGTTTGGAAAACTGTATTTATTTCAAACTGCAAAATGAACTTTCTGATAAACTGGAATTTTATTATTTCAACTATTTTACATACAAATGGTTAGAGGTAAAACTTTTCCTTTGTTCTTTAAACATCATCATATTTTATGTTTAAAAACTTGCATAGATTCTATGAGGCGCCTAGATGGCTCAGTTGGTTAAGCATCTGAATCTTGATCTCAACTCAGGTCACGATCTCATGGTTTGTGAGTTCAAGCCCTGCATTGGGCTCTGAGCTGACAGCAGGGAGCCTGTTTGTGATTCTGTCTCTCCCTCTTTCTGCCCCTCTTCCACGGCACTCTACTCTCTCTCTCTCTCTCTCTCAAAATAAAAATAAAATGGGGTGCCTGGGTGTCTCAGTCTGTTAAGCATCCAATCTTGATTTGGGCTCTGGTCATGATCTCATGGTTCATGAGCTCGAGCCTCATATCGGGCTCCATGCTGATGCCATAGAACCTGTTTTGTATTCTCTCTCTCTTCTCTCTCTCTGCCCCTCCCTCCTTGCACTGTCTCTCTTTCAAACCAAATAAATAAACATTTAAAATAAATAAATAAACTAAGAAAAAAAAACTAGAATAGATTCTCAAATCACATTACCTTTGGAAACCAAAAATTAAGAAACCAAGACAGAAATGTGAACATGATAAAGAAGTTAAAACACTCATCAGCTCTGTTTTATATATTTCTTAACATACCACATAGATTTTATGCTAGACTCTTAATATTTAGTATCACCAGCTCAAAAGGATTATCAATTTGAGAACCATGTGGGTTTTATGGCTTCCTGGTACATTTTTTAAAAAGTTAAATTACTTTCCAAAATGCCAAATCACTTGTCAAAATCTAGCCCTGAATATACGTGTTGTTATATTCACATAATGGGGTTCCAGTCTTTTGGGGTTTTTCATTTGATCTCTGACAGGCTGGCCATCTGATATTTCTGGCTATAATTACAGTTTAACTCTGTTCATTGATTTGAATGTCACAGAGTGTGCCTTCTCCATCTGGTCAGACCCCTGGGAAATTTTATTCAGAAGTTAGGTAGTTAATGATCAAGTGCATTTTCCTCCTTTGAAGCGAGCCATGCTGAGTGTTACATTTGATGCTCCTTTTGAAGTGAATATAGGGGGGAAAAATGAACAGATCCTGCTCCACCATTACCAATGATTTTTTCAAATTATAAACTGAAAAAGCCTACATTTATTCATAATTATATAAATAAAAATATTTTAAAGTAAAAACAGCCTTACCTTATACTCAGTATTGTTAAATAAGCACGTTCTTGGTTCTGAAAAATAAATACATTATTTTACCCTAAAATAAAGATTATAATTCTGTTTTTATTTATAAACCAGAAATTGCATATGGAATCATATTTATCAACCAATTAAAATGTTTCTTCCCAAACACCGTCATCTCCCTTTAATAAACTCATTATATTCATAATTATTAATTCTAGGTTTCCCCCACTCCAAAGATAGTGAGTTTTAAGAGATCAAGTATGATTCTGTTTTATTTATCACACTCCTCTAGCATGGAGTTTAACACATATTAGAAGCTCAATGAATATCTCTTGAATATGTGAATATGTAAACAACTGTTCAATTCAAATAATGTATTGTGAATACACACCACAGTATCCAATTTCACAGCAGGAATCATCAGCTTTGAACTTTACAAGCCTCTCTCCAGTTTTGCATGTGGGTGCAGAAGGGCACTCCTTGGGTTTACAGTCTACAGCCTTTGCATCAGTACAGGTGCATTTGTGGCAATTGGCAGTCCATATATCTCCAGGCTACAGACACAAACCAAGTTCAGACTTCTATTCAGATACAGGAATGACAGCAATTGGATTAAAGTAGAGACAAAGTGTGTACTTACAGATTTCTCTTCTCCCAGCGGACCATGACAAACTGTTAACATGAGATGATAAAAGGTAATTAAATTTGGCAAAATAGAACCATCTGTTATACATAGATAACCACCAGGTGGCCAATACAGAAAAACAGAATTATGGAGAATTGTATGGTGCCTTCAGGTGGGTAAATCACATCCACCTACTTTGAGCAAACTGTCTCTAATGAGTATAGATATTTCCTACTTTACAATGCCAGCACAGGTTAATTATTAATTTCTGCTGGCAGTGGTCAATAAATCTTAAGACTGTTGTTTTACTTACTGTTTTACAGTCTGACTTCTGCTTCCATACCCTGCAAGTCACCAAGACTCTGTAATTACCAGTCCCTAAGGCCCTTTATCAGTTTTTCAAGTTCCCTACAATTGCTGACATTTTTAACTCTCACCTTCTTGAAAATGTTCTCCTCCCTTCAAATTCAACACTCTGAAATTCCTTTCTTTATTAGCAACTTTTTCTCTTCCTTCTCATTGTCTCTGTCCTTTCCTGGTACTTTTCTTCTATCTTCAGTATCCACTGTAATGTCAAGTGGATGACTCTCAAACTTGTAGCTCCAGTACAGATATCTCTTCTAAACTATGGGCCCAGGTTTCCCTTGGCCTAATAAACAGCATTGCAGACCTAATAAATGGCATTATTGAGACCCTCAAACTCAATAAGCACAAAACAGATTATATCATCTTGCCCCTAAAACCAGTTTCTCATCTAAACTGACTTCTTCCTATTGAGAACCAAAGTATTCTTTCAATTATTTGAGCTTAAAACTTAGGAGTCATTTTGATTCCTTCCATTTCATCACTTGGCACCCAATCGACTGCAAAATTCTGTATCTTTATCTTTACTTCATTCCCTTCCTTTCCTGGTTGTACTTGCTACAGTACTACTCCAGGATGTTGTTATCTTTAATCTAGCATATGTGGGCTTTTCCAGGGGTAACTCTGACTCAGATTTCTTCCTGATCCAATCAATTCTCTATACCACAGGTAGAACAGTTTTTCTAATGCCTAGTTTTCACCTCATCTTTGCCTTGGTTAAAAACTTTGGATGGCCCCTAACAGACTTATAAAATAAATACCTAATTTCAGCATTCTAGCTTCTGAGGTCTGCCACAATGTGGCTCCAATCTATCTTCCCAACTTAGTCTCATTCTCTCATTTACATGCCCTGGACTAGCCTACATGTTTCTCTCAAATTCCAATTCTGTAGTGAAATACCTAAAGATTCCTCCAAAGTATACAATATATGTAATATATACATGACAGATAATATGTGCTCTCTATATAATACATATTTCAAGTCTTTTTTATTGTGAAATTTATTTTCAGCCTTATATGAAAACTGTTTTTCTTTAAAAAATATCCCTTCTTCCACTATATCCTAAGATTAGAGAATGATTTTCTTTTTGGGGAGGGGGCGGGTAACTTCTGTCACTTTCTAAAAAGCACATCACATTGGCTGGAGAACAGTGGGGACTCAAAATCCTCTAAAATTATCGAACTTTGGTTAACTTTAATTTCCCTTACTCCTCAAAAAATCTGGAATTATCTGGTTTAAAAAAATACTATTTTTTAAACAATTTTTTGATGACAATTTTTTGATGAAGCTATCATATAATTAAATAAAACACTTTATTTAGTAAGTAAACTCTATTTTGAGTAAGTAACAAGAGGTATTTGTTTGGTTTGGCTGCATTAGTCTGTGGATGAGAAAACAGACTACCATTTGCTATGTATTTGGTGAATAAAAGCTAAATTCCTCCATTTCCAGTTTTCCTATTCTGAAACATTTCCACAGCTAGCAACTTTCATAGGCATGACCTCTGATATTTGATTTACAAGAAGAACCATTAATGTAGAATGGTTGATTTTCAGGTAGAAGTATTCTTGTTTTTTTAAGTTTGTTTATTTATTTTGAGAGAGAGCGAATGCATGCAGCAGAGGGGCAGAAAGAGGGAGAGAGAATCCCAAACAGGTTCCACACTGTCAGTGCAGAGCCCAATGCAGGGCTTGAAATCACGAACCATGAGATCATTGCCCAAGCTGAAGTCAGAGGCTTTACTGACTAAGCCATTCAGGTGCCCCTTGAGTGGAAGTATTCTTACCTGGAGGTGGTGGAAGTGATGCTGGACATCCTGTGTGAAAACAGGCACCTCATGTTAGCCTCTAAAGTTATTGAAATTGTTTCGGGGTAAAATAGTTATCTAATAACTGAAAATAATTGGCTACATTGCTAGTCTTACAGACTTATTTCTGTCTACCTTCCTATGGGGAATAAGCTTAGGCATTCCCTGAGCCTGCACTGATGGGTTAACAAGGCATAAAGAATTACAAAGCCATAGGATGTTCGCTCACACCCAAGTTTGGGTAAACAAGATTAGGTAAATAGGTATAGAGAGGGCAGGGCAGAGGCCCCAATATGGAACAAAGGTATATGAGGTAAACAAGATTAGGTATTCAGGGCAGAAACACCCCCCAACTTAGTACTATAGCAGAAAGCTGCTTTCACAGGAAGGAAGGAACAAATTAGGTAAACAGGTAAATAGGGCAAAGGGGAAGTTGCCCAGAGCTGAGCTAATTAACAAAAGAAAGGCTGACCCTGAGGTTGAGTGCTCTGTCTTTCTTGTCCCCTAGACCAGTTTAGTTAAACAGAGGTGGTGCCTCACCTCTGCTGTAAACAACCTTCTGCCTGACCTCCTGGCACCAGGATTTTGTTTTGTATTAACCCAAACCCCTAACCCCGCATATTTTCAAAACCTCCTTTCCCTCATGTCCATGAGTTAATGTTGACAGTTTCATTATCCCTTTGTGCATGTCCATCACCATGTTTGTAAGCCTTCCGATCCTAATGAAAATAGATCAAGGACCCTTAATTGGGGCTCTCGTCTTCTCCCAGACATTAGTCATCTCCCACATTTTAATCCTGTGTCCCATTTTCTTGCTAGACAAGAAAGAACTCAAGACCCAGAGTCTATGACACTTTCCTTTTCTGCTCCTCGTGGCATTTCAAATTGCACCTTAGAGAAAAATCCCTTTGGACCTCAAATTTGAATGGGAGGGGAAAATGGGAGCCTAGAGGAGAAATGAGAAAATATCAAGGTAAACTACTCCTTGATTTTTTTTGGCAGACACCTCCTATTAAAAGGACAGTAAAATATGCATTCAAAAAGGAAAAGGATAATTCAGGTATAGGAAAATGTGTTATTAGTAATCTAGTTTTAATCCTTTAAGAACTTTTATCCTCTTTTTAACTTCCTGAAATATTTCAATCTTATTCCATCTCCACCTGCACCAGATGGCGTAAGCTGGCCATATGTTTCTTTTTAAGTCTTCACATATCACATATTTTGGTCAACCCAACAATTCACTCAAAAAGTTCAAATTGTATTTCCAAACTTCTAAAAAATCAAATTAATATTTTAATTCTACCCACCAAGCAAAAGTCCAGCCTAGAATATTTGAAAGAACTTAAAATTGTTACATGTTGAGGTAAAGGGGCCACAACAACCAATAAGGGCAGAAGAAACAGAAAGAAAATTAGTTAAAGATGTGGGAGCTTGGGGATCAAATGTCTCTTTTAACTGAGGGAGGCTAAACTAATCCCCAATTATAAATGCTTAACAGATTAGCAGAAAACAGCAACCAGAGAGAGAAATGTCCTATTAGGGATAAATACAGCAGAAAATCTTCCCTGATCAGAATTCCAAGGGTTCATTGAAGACATTTGTAAGAGGAGCCATAAAGAACAATCTCCTAATCTCCACATTGCTGTCAGAGTCAATTCTCTAAAACATCTTTCTGATCATCTCATTCTCTTGACAAAATCCTTAAGGGGATCCCATTTAGTGTATGGATAAAGTCTCATTTAAATTTAGAAATAAGGTTTTTCTTGAACTTGCTTCTACTTTCCAATCTCATTTATCCCCTGAACCTCATACATTCATGACCGATACCTGGCTGATTCCTGAACTCATTCATGATATCACATGTCTCTGTCTTCTCGTGGCTGGTTGGCAGGAATTCCCTCCTCACCCCAGCCAATATTAAACTCAGTCATCTCCTTTCTGATGCCTTCACTCAACATTACCAACTAATAAGCAGAAATTAATATTCTATTCTCACTATACAACTGGGACCATAATGATTATACATGTTTGGGGGTTAGCCTTAAATATACTGTAATGATAGTATCTGTGCCCATAATAATCTACCTACAAATACACAAAAGTAATAAAACAGCAAGGACTTTATTTTATTGATATTTTTGCTATTAGCTTCTGCTACAAGTCTAGCATATATAAAGAAATATTAGTTAGATAAGTAAAGAAATTGGGATTTGCCCCATACTGACCTGTTTTATTTTCAGTTTCTTGGTCTCTTGTTGTGACTAGAGTGGTTTCTAAAGAGAAATAAACTAATGGTATTGTCATTTTATTTATTAGGATAACACGTATGCATATCAAGTCTCTCTCTCTGTGTGTATGCACAAATGACAGTGCAAAGTCATGCTCAAAGGAAGCTTTGTGTGAAATAAAGAAGTCATTCCAGCACAGTTGGGTCATTTCATTTTACCTGGGTAGGATACTTTGGGTCTTGTTGTGATTTTAGTTGACATGGAGGTGGAGCCTACAAAAGGAAATACAAAAAAATTTCAAGAATAGCACATTTCATAATCCCATTCCCAGAGATTTCAAGCTCCATAATTAAGTCTTCAGATGAGGAATTTTGGTGAAAGCCTAAACAATAAAAACAAAAACAAAAACAATCCTAGATTATATATATATAATATATATATATAATTTATTTATTATTTATTTATTTATAAATATATATATTTATTTATATATTATATTTATATATATTTATTTATATATATATGTATATATATATGTATATATATATAAATGAACTTCAAAGTCATGTTCCAAAACTTTGGGAAAATCTTCCTGGCCTTTCTCTCCTGTTTCTTCTAGCTTTCCTCTCCCCAAACCCAACTCCTCATATATAATCATAGGTGCACAGATCATTGAGGAATTTGTATTGCCAGCAGTCACCTGTTTGCATTCTAGTTCCAGAGGTTTCCTTGACTTCAATGGAAGCAGTGGCTGCTAAGGGAATTACAAAAGCAGTAAGTATAGGGGACTGGAGAAGCTAGACTTTGTCTTCAGATAAGCTGGTCTGTCTTCTGAGATGTCACCAAGAAAAGTTCATTTATTATTATTTTACTTACCTGTGGTAGAATTTCCAGGAGCAGTGGTTGTTTCAAATGCTTCCCTGGAGGTACCTAAAATAAAGACAGGAAGAGCAATGCGCTTTTTTTTTGTCTCAGAAGAAAATGTCCTAAGACATGTCTACATGAGACAAGAGTTTTGAGCACCTAGCATGTACCAATGCATCTACTAATGCTAGGACATCCTCCTGCAATTGAAACATAAGAGGCCCCTATCTTAGAAACTCCTTGATCACAGAAATGAATTGAATATTTTCCCACGACCCAGGTAAATTTCACACTTATAGGTCTCCTTCTCTAAATGATACAAATTTTTTTCACATCTAATTCTTTTACTTCCTATAACTTTGTTTCCTGGTTCTCTTCTATTAGTTTTGGGGACTGTGAAGTTATGAGAGTAAAAAAAAAAAATGAGAAAACATCTGTGTTGATCAAGATGGCCTAAACATTCCCCTCAGCTTGACTAAATTTATAGACGTATCTTCCTGATTAAAGGGCCCTGGACTCTCTTTTCTTAGAGCATTTACTTTAGAAAATTTGTGGCTATAAATTCTTTCTCTGTCCTCTTGAGATACAAATCTTTCCCTAGTCTCTGGACAGTTTTACAACCCAAGAATGTCTTCCCCAAAGACCTTGGAGCCACCTCTTTGAAATATAATCACTGAGAATAACAGTAACCCTATCTCTTTGTCTCTATGGGAAGTTGGAGCCTAACTTTATTCTATAAGCACCAATTAGCAAACTTAGGTGGCTTCATCGTATAGACCAGCCTCCCCTCCAGTACTTTTCCCACTAGCTCACCCCAGCCCTTAAAATATCCCCTGGATTTTATTTCAGAAAAGAGGAGGTAAAACTCACTGCTATTGCAATGGGCTTTACAATAATTACAATAATCTTAAATAAAGTCTTCATTGCCATTTAAATTCCATCTGGTGCAATTTTTCTTTTCGAGTTCAAGTCTGGCATTCATTCATAGAGATAAATATTGGTTATCTGAAACACTTAGGTGTGAAAGAGAAGAATGTCAAGGATATAAACTTCATTTGAAGTCATTGCCATTACCTTGGGTGGGACTTTCTGGGACACCAGTAATTCTACTTGATGCCACACTAGTACCTACGAAGGCAAGTGAAAAACATTTCATATCAGACACACCTCCTATGGCCATCCCCAAAAATTAACAGTGAGAAGAGAAAGTAAGCCGGGTGAAAGTCTGGGTCAATACTGCATCCAGCCCATAGATTCCCCTTGTGAATTACAAAACACACCCTTTTTGGGCAGATGTGTCCTCATAGATTTATGTCTTTTTAGAGGAATGTTGGCTGGATTTCAGCATCTATTCCTCCTTTTAGCATTGTGTCCTGTGTACCTACCTATACAAACTTACCTGGGTGCTCTGGTCTGAGTCCAGAAACTCAGAGCAAGAAGATAACAATGGCTGAAAAAAGTACATTCCTAATGAGATTCTGCCCCATTTCCTGGCCCTGTATTTTTACTCTCAACATTCCCCTACACCGAAGCGAAGCTGTAGGAGTCTTTAATGAGAATTCAATAGATTTGAATCACTGACTCTTACTTATTTACATTCCAACTCCAGTGGTCGCCCCTAAGAGAGGCAAACAAGAATGAGGTCAGGACTGCTCTGTTGATGTTTCAACAGTTAATTCTAGAGAAAGGATATTATTTTTTTTAACTTAGATACTCTGCCACTTACTAAATATTTACTAACCTGTATTGGAGCTTCCAGGAATAACTGTTGTGCCAGAGGCTACCCCAGTGGTACCTGCAATAAGAAGGAAGGATGAGCCTCACAAACCCTTTCTCACCCTAAGAAAAGTGTAAAATTGGCAAGTGCTCCTATTTCTCTGAAGCAACAGAAAACAATTTAAAACAATTTTTCTTGTATCATGTGTTAAACCTGACATGTTTTCTAATGCACTTTCTCATGATTGAAATGTTCAAAGAAAATATAAGAGGAAAAGCTACAATTGTGTCAAAAATCTTATTTCTCTAGATCCAGAATCATCTAGAATCTTATTAGTAAAGGAGAGAATGTCTGTCTTATATTCACATGGTTTACTTCCAGTGACTTAACTCTTTGACTCTCCAGTGGAAGAAAACCAGAGAAAAACAACTGCATCTATACATATCTTGGCTGGTGGTGACTTTCACTAATTCTGGAGTATTGCCTGGCAAAACAAAGGGGGTAAAGTTTCTTAAAAAAAAGGTGTGTCTAGAGAATTACATCTATGGTTATGTTTCCTAGGAAAACTCAGGGAACTAACCTAATTTGACCCTATGAGCTATTATTAAAGGAAAAGGAACCACTTCCAGTGATGTTCATTTTCATTCACAATCTGTGTATAGTGAGCTCAAATGAAAAAAACCATGGAGAATCCAAAATCCAGTAAAATTCACCTGATGAAATTCTTGCTTCCATAGTTCCAACACCTTCTTTAAAAGTTGTGGTTTCTGTAAGAGCAAAGAAGAAAAAAATTGAGAAGATTAAGAATTTGAAAATAGGAGAATATACGGCAGTGTGCAATTTTGTCCATAGGCCCTTAAAGGGGAATTCCTTTTATTTCCTGATTTACCTGCTTGGAAACTTGCAGGTGATGATATATTTACAGAGCCTGTCCCAGTGGTAGCTGGGATGTGAGAGAGAAGAAAGAGACAGTAATGTGAGCACTGTCTTTCTTATTGGATGGGGATGATCATTTAGGAAAAATTCATGTGTTTCTGTGATACAACATATTCCTTCTCCAGGACTCCTTGCCCCCAAAAGTAAAATAAACATTTTTTCTTGCTCTGTTTTATCCCCTATGGTAAACTCCATTCTTCTACGATCCCTGTTTTCTGGAATTAGTATCATGGAGATAGGTGCCTTCCCCGTTTCACCTTTTTCACTTCCCCATGCTTACCTATTTTTCTTCCAGTAGACTGGTTCCCTGGAATTAGGTTGGTGACTCCTGAAGCTTAAAAAATGAAAAGAATTAAGAATCTTGACATTTTAATTATTTCAAAACAGTTCTCCCTTCCTATTTCAAAGTTTTATATCTATTAGGTCAGGCCCTCTGAAAAATGAATCTTACTAAAAATTACATATGTTGTCTGAAAATTCTGTTTGCTCCTGTTTGATCTGGGATTCTGAATCCCCAGATTAGAAGCAGAACAGTCTCCTGAGTCACATCCCAGGACTCCAGCACTCTGTCTTATAGACTTGACTTAATCCATACTGGCTGAGCCCAAACTATCCCCTTTTCCAGGCTCCTCTGCCTTTACAAAGCCCTTTTTTTGTAACACCTTTTAAATTTACTTTGAATATGTGTTTTTGTTTTAACTGTTTAAATTTCAGTATAGTTGACACAGTTTCATTAGTCTCACGTGTACAACAGTGATTCAACAACAAGTCTATCCATCATGCTGTGCTCACCACCAGTGTTGCTACAATCCATCACCATACAACACTGTCACAATACAATTAACTATATTCCATATGCCGTCCCTTTTATCCTCATGACATATTCACTCCATAGCTGGAAGCTTGTTATCTCTCACTCCCCTTCCCGCATCTTTGCCCACCCTTTGAAGCCAGGGTATCATGTTTTAACTTCTTGGTCTTCTGACTATGTGTGTTTACCCTAAATAAACTCACCAGCATCCACCACTTAAATATCATTTGTAAGCAATCGGCTGACAAATGTATATCTTCAATGTAGGCCTCTCTTCTGTACTCTAGTTGCACTTAACACTTCTCCTGAGCATACTACTGAATACCTCAGGGCACTTTATTTTATTTTTTAAAATTTTATTTACTTGTTTGTTTCTTTAAATATGGAATGCTTCTTGAATTTGCATGTCATTCTTGCACAAGGGCCATGCTAATCTTCTCTGTATCGTTCCAATTTTAGTATATGTGCTGCTGAAGCGAACACCTCAGAGCATTTTAAATTCAAACTGCCCAAATTTGTCCTCACTATATCTTCTATCAGTTATCAATTTTTTTTTTCCTCCTCCAGTATATTCCCAAATTTGGGGATGGCACTTCCATCCGTCTACCTAAGCATCCAAACTATGAGCTAGATTCACCCAAAACATCCTTCTCTCCTTCACCTCTCCATCGCATCATAATAAATGCCAACTTGCCAACATATTGCACATTCTTTGTGACCTCCATTTTCCGACATGATTGCCTCTGTAATCTGTCTGTAATCATGTCTTACCTCCAACAGTCTCAAACTGGATGACATACCTCCAACACTTGCTTTCTTACTCCCCTTTAAATCATGCCTAACTTACGCCTAGTTAATCTTCCAAAAAAGTAAATCTATGCATGATAGTCAATCTATCCAAAAACCTTTCAATTTCTCCTTATTGTCAATGGAATCACAATTTAATTTTTTTCATAACTGAATCCTATAATATTATGGAATACAAAACTGATGGGTGATCTCCTTTTTTTCCCCCTTTTCAGGACATTTCTGTCACAACTTTGACAACCAGAAATTTTGACAAACCTCCCAACATCTGCTCTTGCGATGGTTTCCCAATATCTGAGTTGTATTCCACAAGTTTAGATTATTATAATTTCCTATTTTATACTCCCATGCTTTTTAATAAATGTTTCTTTCCTTGATCATTTTCATTGAGTAGACAAAAAATATTAATGTGAGATTTTAAAAAATGCCCTAAATTTATTTTAGTCATCTTAATTTACTTGGGTTGGAAACTTTTGAGTAACCTGTGATTTCACCTATGACCATAGTACCTATAAAGACAAGTAGGAAAATATTTTACCAAAAAGACTCCTGTTTTCATTAAGAAATGTACCACTAAGAAACTACATCCTAATAAATGTGCATATGATGAAGTCTGTAGTCCAGGAGATTCTAGTACATTAAGATCACAACCCCAATTATCTCACAAGTCTTCAAATTAAAAGTTTTATCATCTTCTGTCACTACCAATATCCTATGAGTAATCAGTGAAATCTCAACAATTCTGAATGCCATGACTGACCTGTTTGAATTACATGCACAGTGGTGTCACGGCTTAGTCCCAGAGTTGTAGCCCCTGTGAATAAATAAAAATTTAAGGTGATTTTAAACAATTTTGAAATCTGGAAAAAAGTTGTATGTTATGAAAGTAGAAGACATACTCTCAAAGAAGATGGCTTTTGAGTGAGATACTAATAAAGAGTATTAGTCTCTTTGTAACTTTGACTAACTCATGTTGGCATTTCCAGAAATAAGTGTGGTGAAAGACAACCCTGGCGGAATTTGAAATGGACATGAAAATGAGATTTAAAAGAATGAGAAAGATACTGTGAAATTGAGAGAGAAAGAGAGAGACAGAGAGAGAGAGAGAGAGAGAGAGAGAAAGAGAGAGAGAGAGAGAGACCATAGTAATACTTTTTATGCCCTTAAAATATCATGGAAGAGATAAATTCACATGTTTCTAATAAGCAATAAAGGGGTTTCGTTATGCACAGACAAGCAAACACCATGCTCTCCCACAGACTCTTTCATTTCTCCAAACCAATATATGGTAAAGTTTCATTCTGGAGCCCTTTGTTCTCTGTGGTTTAATGCTTTTTGTAATAGCGTTTTTCCTCTGCTCATTTGTTTTCCCTCCTGTGACTTGGCTTCCTGATGCTTCAGTGGGGATTCAGGTGTGTGAAGGAGCATGTAAATTTTTTTTAATTTGTTGAGACCTTAGTTATGAGGAAAACCTGAGAAGAAAGGGTTTTATGTGCAAGATAAGTCTAAGACTGATGAATTAAATCCTACTAACCAGGACTAGAATTTTCTGGACCCCTGGAAACTTCAGCTGACTCTGAAGTAGTATCTGCTAAGGCAAGATGGATAAAGAATTGAGAGTAATATATCATTCTTAGCTTCATAAAATATAAAAGGCTGGTGTATAGAGAAAATCAATCTGAAGAACAAAGTCCACGTCTGATTGACCTAACATATGGTCTCTTCAAATAGAATACAAAGCCCTATCTTCGCTGGTCTGCTCACTCATTCATCATCTAACACAAACTTAAACATAAAACTGTTGAGAACACAAAAGGTTGAAAGCAAACCACTCACTAGTGGCCATTCCAAATACAGTGGTAGCTTCAAATTCTGTAGAAGTTGTAGCCTCTGAGAGGAAATAGGAGAAAGCAACATGAAATGCAGAAATTTGGCTAAAGTTCATAGAAGCAGGTTTCCTCAACTTTTTCACAACTTACTTGTGTTGGAACTCCCAAGTGCGATGGTTGTACCTGTGGTTATCCCAGTGGTAACCGAAAGCACAAAAGGAGATAATCGATGTATTAATTCCTTTTTACTTAAAATTAGGATTTAGTTTAGAAGACATTGATGGGTTCCTCTAATCAACTAAAAGGTTTAGATCAGGAACTTCCTTGTCTTAAGTGATATATCAATACTGGTTTCTATTATACCATTTTATTACAAGTCTACAAAATATAAGACAATTCACATGGGATAAAGAGTTAACATCATGACAATTTGTACTCAAAGAGAGATTAAGGTAAGGTAGAATAGAATTCCCTCTAAGTTCATTACAGTCACTGTGATTGACTTTAAGACGTAGAGAAAAATATTATTTGACTGCTCATACTCATTTATTTTAATTCCACCCTTGGTGTTTCCACCACCTCCAAAAGAAGTTGTGGTCCCTAAGTGAAAGGAAGAAAGGAGAAGGAAAGTGAATTCAGAAGGATCATATAAATGAGAAATGGTGGTTTCCCAGGGAATGGTAGGGAAAGTGTGTGATTGGGAGGAGATGTTGAAGCAGGAGGCAGGGAAGTGAGTTTTCCATTACTGAAGCTTGTCACATTCCCTGTTAGGTTATTGATTTACCTGTGTTGGAACTTCCAGATGCTGTTGTGCCAGTGATTACACCTGTAGTGCCTGCAGTAGAAAAGAGAAAGACAGAATCCAAATGGTGATGCATTTACCTTTCTGAGAAGAGCATGGCCAACCAGACTGTCTGTGACTGGAAAGTAGCAGATCTTTTTTGAGCTATCCTGTCAAGATGAAGTTCATTCTCTATTTTTAAATTCAGGGCCACAGGGGCGCGTGGGTGGCGCAGTTGGTTAAGCGTCCGACTTCAGCCAGGTCACGATCTCGCGGTCCGTGAGTTCGAGCCCCGCGTCGGGCTCTGGGCGGATGGCTCGGAGCCTGGAGCCTGTTTCCGATTCTGTGTCTCCCTCTCTCTCTGCCCCTCCCCCGTTCATGCTCTGTCTCTCTCTGTCCCAAAAATGAATAAACGTTGAAAAAAAAAATTTAAAAAAAAAATAAATTCAGGGCCACAATAAACATGTTGGCTTACAGTCCAGCTTTGATGACTAGCTTCCCTAGGATTAAATATCAGGAGTCTCCAGGCCTTTCCAAAGCTTACCTGTTTTACTTCTAGGGCTTGGTGTCTCAGATGTACCAGTGGTAGCTCCTGATTACAAGAATACAAACAATATTTGTGTAAATGTATTTATTTGTATTCAATGAAATAACATCTGAAATCCAAAATTTGCTAGACCTAAACTTCCAGTTATTTCTGTCATCTTTGCTTCCCTAAATAGAACTACATGGACATACTGCCTCCAACTGATACTGGGGTAATATCTTCAATATCAAAAAGGGACCTTTCTGAACTCCCCTTATGGTAATAAGAATTACCATATAAGGTTTGCCCCCAGAAGAAATGAAATCATTTTCATAAATATAAACTTCCTCTAACAAATGTCCCCAAGAAAAGGCAAAGACAGAATAAATCATCAGGAACTCAAGAATTGCCGAATCCTGGGGCACCCGGGTGGTTCAGTGGGTTAAGCGTCTGGCTCTTGATTTTGGCTCAGGTTCTGATCTCAAGGTAGTGAGATTGAGCCCCGTGTCGGGCTCAGCATGGAGCATGGAGCTTGCCTGGGATTCTCTCCTCCCTCCCTTCTCTCTCTCTCTCTGACCCTCCCCCACTCATGCCCATGCTTTCTCGCTCACACTCTCTCTCTGTCTCAAAATAAATAAATATATTTTTAAAAAGGAGTTACCAATTCCACTTTCACTGGTTATACTTCCTTGTAATGGAAGTTGTAGCTTCTGATAGTGAAAAGAAAGTAGTGATGGCTAATGGAAAGTCATAAAAAAGAATCACATGCTATTCCTCCAGAGCTAGTCCCAAGAAAGAAATTATAGCACATCCTTCCTCGTTGGCTTACCTGTGTTGGAAATTCTGGGTGAGATGGTACTTTCTGGGGTCACTCCAATAGTACCTGAAAGCAAAATGGAATGATATGATCATTTGAACTTTACTCCTATAAGAAAAGCATATTATAGGAAAGGGTGGGGAAGCTACACAACTTCTTTATTATGCAAAAAAAGATTATTTTTGGCAATAGCTTGTTTCAGAGTTGTTTGTGCACTTTCTAATGTTTCATTCCCAAAATAGTGGTGGGAGAGCACAATGTGGGATAGTGGTGGAGAGTCTCAAGACAAAGGTATTTTTCCTTTATTTACCTGTTTGAATGCCAGGGACTTGGCTACTGGATCCCCCTAGAAGAAGAAACAACAGGATTGATCACCAATTAAATTTACTTTTGGGTGAAGTACTGATGTTATAGAAATTTTAATGTTCTAGAAATGTTTAGACATGTGACAAAGAAATCTAGTGATATAATGTAGTAGTAATATAGTATCATGATTAAGAGGTTAGATTTCTGAACCAGACTGCCTGAGTTGAATCCTGTTTGTTTGCTGTATGACGTTGGGCAAGTTGATTAATATCTCTAAGCCATGTTTTCTCATCTGTGAAAATGATAGTACCTCAGTTTGGGGTAAGGTTTAAAATAATAGCAAGAAGGGTGTAGGATAATGCCTGGCACATACTTAGAGCTTGAAACTGTTAATTGTTATTGCTGCGCTTGTATGTGAAAAGTGGCAAGGTTAGGAAGCTTATGAACTCACCTGTATTAATTTCAATTCCTGTGCTTCCACTGCCTCCAGGGGGTGTTGTAGCTTCTAAGACAGAGGAAAGGTAGAAAAAATGTGAGGTGAAGAGGATTTAATGTTTTTTTTAAAATATGATTTATTGTCCAATTAGCTTACATAAAACACCCAGTGCTCATCCCAACAAGTGCCCTTCTCAATGCCCATCACCCACTTTCCCCTCTCCCCAACCCTCCATCATCCCTCAGTTCTCTGTATTTAAGAGTCTTTTATGGTTTGCCTCCCTCCCTCTCTATTTGTAACTGTTTTTTTCCCCTTCCCTTCCCCCATGGTCTTCTGTTAAGTTTCTCAAGATCCACATATGAGTGAAAACATATGTTATCTGTCTTTCTCTGACTGACTTATTTTGAGGATTTAGTGTTCTGAGGCAAGTTAATTATGTACTTTTCTGGGCCACTGTACCATGAAAGATACTTTACTACTAGAAGTTTTCCTGTGGAAGACTCTCTTCAGCTGGCTGGCTCACCTGTATTTGAACTCCCTGGTGCAAGTGTAGTGCCAGAAGATACCTTAGGGGTACCTACAACAAGAAGGGTGGCTTTTCCCCTCATGGAGTTGGGGGTGGGAATTCTGTTTATCTTGTGGGCCTTTTCAACCGGTGATAAATTATTTCTGTTCTCTTATGCATAGTTTTATTCCCAAATCAAATAAAGATAGAAATTCCTCAACAGAGAAGTCCACTTTTCCGAGATTTAATGGCAGAAAAACAAGGGTATTCATATTCTGCCTCTTGTTCTTCTGATCCGCTTCCCACCAGAGCCACCTAATGTGCTTCCAGTTCCTTTATTTATGGATACTTCCGTAGTAGCTCTTATGAGAATGAAAATTTTTAAAACTTAATCATGAAGGTAGATAGTTACTGGGATAACCACTGCACATTTCAGTTACTTCTATGCTCAAAGAAGAACATAATGAATAGAGATAAATTTTCTGTGTTCGTTGTGGCCTTCTGTTTACCTTAAATAAAACGCTCTGCCACCATCCTTCCATCAGCTAATATCATGGTGATACTTAAGATGACAAATAGAAAAAGAAAACTCCCTAGACAATTATCACTTTCACTCTCATATTCAGGGAGGTATATATGGAGGCTGGACCATGAAAATGAAGATATTTCAAAAATCTGCCCCAACTGATTCAAAATCAAGTAAAAAATGAAAACACTGTTGATCTTAGATGTAAGTTCCTTAAAAGCCCCTCCTCAAGAAATTATCCTACTAAGAAACAAAAAAGTAATTTATAATCAACCAAAGTCCCCCCCGCCACACAAACACACCTACACCCACACACACTAATTTCCATCTGTTTCCTAACGGACTCTAGTAGTAGTATGGCTTCTAGAAGAAGAAAAGAAGAAACAGATAAAGGTTGGGTATTTAGGAAGTAAAGAAAATATGGTGCGGTGCTCTTACATGAGAAGATCCATGTGAAAGACATTTTTTCACCTTATTTTTAGGAAAGATGCTTTCTTCCCAGCTTGTTAACCTACCAGTATGGGAACTTCCAGGTGCAACAGTTGTACTCGAGGCCACACCAATGGTACCTGAAATAAGAATGTCATGGGATCATCACAGAGAATGTTCTGCATTGAGGCAATCTAAGTATAAAGTAAGTGTATATTTCCAGGGCCATATCTTCAGTTATATTACACATGGACAACTCCAGGAAGGACCATTCATAGAGACTATTTTGTCCATATGGAAGCTCTATGAGCATGCCTTTCTGCTCCTGGATTGAATCGTGTAATTTTTCCCATGTATCAATTATTTCATTCATTCAAAAATATTTATTGAGCCTGTTTAATACTAGAAATTCACCAATAAATAAAATAAATGAAGACTTTTTTTCCCTTAAGAAGTCTATCTTCTAGTAGGCTTACTTAGCAAATATTACACTATTTTCAACTGGGAACAGAAGAGTTTTTCACCATGTTTACCTGTTTTACTTTTAGCGACTTGATTGATACTCCAGAGGTAGTTCTTAATGGTTGAAAGTAGGAAAAATATTTTGAGTATGTTATCACTTTAATCAACCTCGAGGCAACCAGTCATTAAGCAACTTAGAGTTTAAAGTTCAAGATAAAAAGTCAAATGGGAGGCAAAAAATTTCTACTTTCATTTTAGTCATCTACTTGCGTGAGATAGAAGCTTTTGGGACAGTGTTGACTCCTGCCGATTCTGCAATAACATCAATCATGTCCAGTGGGTTAATCTTCCAGGAAATTACTACTACCACCACCCTATTCAGAAATCCACACCACATGGCCAGGCACTGGAAAAGGGTTGTCCAGAAACCAGCAGAGGAGTCTGAATCAATAGCACCATTGGCCTGGGTGTGCGATGGAGGACCTGCCCTTCCTGTATAACAATCTTTCTGATCCAGAGGCAAACTCATGATCGTCATCAATGGCAATGCTAACATCTGGCACTCCTAATTCTCATTGATTTCATCACAGGGTCTCTGATGCTTTCTAAGGAAGCTTTGGCCTCTGGAAACAAAAAATTAGGAAAGTAGAAAGTATGTTTGGGGTGACATATTTCTGCTTGATGTTAGACAAGGAATGATTGCCTCTGAATACATTCACTTACCAACACTGGATTTTCCAGATTTAATAGTTGTGCCAGAGACTACTCCACTGGTACCTAGAATCGCAAAAGGGAAGGGATTGATATGTTATTTCCTTTACATTAAAAGAAAAGCTAAGAAGAAAAATGTTACAAGCTTCTTTTAATTCATAGAAGGCTTATTCTAGGGTTCCTCATATATCTTTTCACAAGAACATTTCTTTCCAAAAGGAAAAAAAAAAGCTGTTTCACATTATAATTCTCATTCTGAATATTGGTAAATATCAGGGAGATATTCACATTTTCTCATGCTTACATGTTTGAATGTCAGAGATCTGGCTACCTGGTATGGTAGTCTGGACTCCTGAGGAGGAGAAAAGAGATGGGGGTGGGGAGAGATATTCTGCCTTATATAAACTTAGGGATGATTAGGGTAAACCATTAACACACTGGAATTTGGAGGTTTAGATAAAGACTTCCATAGGTCAGAAATCATTCTGTGTTTATTTCAGCCAATTTAAATTACTAGAAGGAATTCACAAAAAAAGGGAGAACTTTCTGGTGCTATTTGCAACACCAATGGAGAAATCCCATCATATCTTCAGACTTAGAGCAATGAAACTCAGTGCTGGAATTTATAGATTTTCAAAAAGATTTTTATCCCTACTATTAAACCTATTTTGACTCACTTGCAATGCCCCTAAATTAAATGCAAACTCTCCAAAGGAAAGCTGAGACAGTCCTAAATCTGTTGACCCCCAAATCATGGGCTCTTCATGCTCACCTGTTTGGGCTCCAGTTCCAGTCATTTCTGTGGAAGTTGTGGCCTCTGAAGAAAGAAATAGGAGAATGATGAAATCTGGGAATTTGAAATATTGGGAAAATATATTGTGCTATTTCTTTATTATAACAGCCCTGAAAGCGAGATCATGACATCTGAGATTAAATAAGCGAAATTTCTTCCTTGTTAACCTACCTGTGTTAGAACTTCCAGATGTAATGGTTGTTCCAGACAATTCTCCAGTGGTACCTAAATTGCAAAAAGGTAAACAGAGTAGTAGAGCATTTCACACTCCTAGTTCATCTTAGAATCATTAATGTGGCCCTAAAGCACTGAAGCTCCTTCCTGAAGACTATGAATAAAATTGAAAATGAACAACTTCACAGCACTGTATTTCTCAGGTCAAACTGGGATGGATGTGTTGCTATGGATTTCCCTTTCACTATGTGGTAAAAAGAAGCAGGTCTTTCAATCACCCTTACCTGCCTCACTTCCAGGAACATATCCACCTGTTGTGCCAGAGGTGCCTAAGGATGGGATTAAGCATGGTTTTAATTTTTATAAGTAGTAACCTTTGATGTAACTTGGAGCATTTTGATAATCAGTTGTCTTTATGAAGCTTTCTAATGAAAAAGGATAGAAAATAAATAATAAGCATCATGTATACGAGAGAGATGATAGGAAGTGGCAAGCCCTGGGGAGAAGGTAAACTGGGTAAGGAGGATTAGGAGGATTGGGGGTTAGGATATATTCAATATGAACTCATACCTTTCTTCAGAAAAACAAAACAAATAAACAACAACAACAACAACAACAACAAAAAACACCTCTGTGAGTCAGAACATAGAGGACAGCCTAGGCTTATAATTCCAAGCTGAATAACTTGAATATACTCTCATTGGTATACTACAATATTGTTAGAGGAGGTCATTGAAAGGACATGAATGTCAATTGACCTATGAGCTGGACTCTGGAAATGGGAGTATGGGATGTATGTTCTGCCTACATTTCCACAGCTGGAGCCATTTTCAAGGAAGCAGCCTTGAGAGAGAAATGTGTCATTGAGACCATCTGGATGGTATAGAGTGACTGAACCCACTTAAGATTTCCACACCAGCTTTTAAGATTCTGGTGGTGGGTGCAGAGATCTACTCATCTTGCGGCCACCCAGGACAAGGCTCCCTTGTAAGTTCCCTTATTACACCTGCCATCTACCAATCCAGACTGGCCTGCTTCTTTCTTCCGTTCTCTTCACTGTTTGTGTACAGGGCCAGGCTCAGACTTTACCTGGGAAGCTCCCTAGTTTTGCAAACCAACAAATAGGGCCACAGGGAAAATGTAGGACCCTTTCTCACACTCCCTCCCATTTTAATGCTTAACCCAAACAGAGAAATAATGAGAGACTTAGGCCTCCACTGAAAAGCTCACTGCCTGGCAGTACTCCTTGGGTGATCTCGCTCCTTCCTGTGAAAGTTGTGGCTTCTAACAGAAGAAAAAGGAAAAAGAAAATGTAAAGGCTAGGGACACATGGGTGGCTCAGTCGGTTAAGCATCAGATTTGGCTCCGGTCATGATATGGTTGGGAGTTCAAGTCCCACCTCAGGCTCTGTGCAGACAGCTCAGAGCCTGGAGCCTGCTTTGGATTCTGTGTCTCCCTCTCTCTGCTCCTCCCACACATGACCTCCTTTCTCTCTCTCTCTCTCTCTCTCTCTCTCTCTCTCTCTCTCTCTCTCTGTCTCACTCTCTCTCACACACACACACACACACACACACACACACACAAATAAATAAATAAACATTAAAAAAAAGTAAAGACTTGGAGTGTGCACAGGACATTCAGGTATAATACGTCCTAGGTATACATCCTGTGTATAACTGTCAGGTAATGGACCCCATAATGCCCTGATGAAGGCTCCTTAGAGCAAAAGAGGAAAAATTAAAGTGTCTGAACAGAATTTATTGATGTCAAATATTGAACAACTGCTAAATTTTTCACCAGTCTGCTAAATATGGAACATCCAAAGAGTTTTGATATATATTTTCTTACTCTTTTTTTAATGTTTATTCATTTTTTAGAGAGAGACAGAGCATAAGTTGGGGGGGGGGTGGTGGCAGAGAGAAGGAGACACAGAATCTGAAGCCAGCTCCAGGCTCTGAGCTGTCAGCACAGAGTCTGGTGCAAGGCTCAAACTCACAAACCATGAGATCGTGACCTGAGCTGAAGTTAGATGCTTAACCGACTGAGCTACCCAGGCACCCCAAGAGCTTTGATATATTTCAGTTAGGACCTTTTACTGAAGTTATTAGAAAGTACCATTAGTGCCTTAACAGCGCTCACCTGTGATGATCCTCATTCGTGTTCCACTTTCTCCCACAGAAGTTGTGGCTTCTGAGAGAAGAAAACAGGAGTTGATTGGAAACTATTTAAGGACCACAGAAAGGAGCGTGTAGAGGAGACATCTAATTTGTGGGAGGACATGTGGAAGATTCCCTGTTGTCTTGTTGCCTCACCTGTAATAGAACTGCCAGGGGCAACAGTTGTACCAGGGGCTACCCCAGTGGTGCCTGAAACACAAAGGTCTGAAGTCATCACAGTGATTCATGTTTATCTCCTGAATACCTGTCTCTAGAAGGAAATCTGGATATATCTCATATCAAGGGGCCCTTTCACTGCTTCCTGATGAAAGTGAGAATCATATACCTTTCCTGTGACCTATATCATTAAAAAAGCAATCAAAATAATAATTTTTCCAAGTTGAGGCAACCTCCTCAAACATCCCATGATTTCAAAACAGAGAATAAGGTGGCTTTCTTCCAAGTGTTCACCTGTCACACTCCCAGTTGCTTGGCCTCCCGGTACTGCAGTGGTGCCTACCGTAAGACGAAACAAAAAAAAAAAACAAAAAAAAAAAAGAATTTCCCAAGGAAAATACTGAGCATCAATACTGTTTTTTTGAATAAGAAAATCTTTATATAGGACAGGCCTATTTAGGAATTCACATCATTTTCACTTCTTCCCAGGTGTATAATACTCCTCAGCTCCCCCTGACATCTTAGTGATATATAAGCCATCACAGGAGAAACCTATCATACGGTTTACATCACCAGCATATCTCTAAAAAATAGCCACTGTGAGGCTAGATGCTAGTGTTAAGAGCTCTTCCATATATTAAATATGTGAAATCTAAGAAAATGCTGAAAATAAATACAAACTACTCTGTAGGAGAGCACACCTCCCAACAGGTGACTTTAGGGAGAGCCATAATTCACACTAAACCAAAAACTGTAAACTAATTATTCTCACTGCATCTGGATCCAGTTCCAGAAGTACCACTGCCTTCTGTTAAAGTTGTGGCCTCTGAGGGAAGAAAATGATGAACAATGAGGTCTGAGGATTTGGGATATTAGGGAAAGAATTATGTTGATATTTTTCAGAGCAGGTCTACTAACTATATTATGAGGTTAAATATGGAGATTTATTTCTTATTAACCTACCTGTGTGGGAACTTCCAGATATAATAGTTATCCCAGAGATTTCCTCTGTAAGACCTAAAAGAAGAAAAATAAAGGGATCAACACAGCATTATCTCCCTGATCAATATGGCGTTGAACCACTGGAAGACCTTTCCTGAGGATCTTTGTTTCTGAAGGAAATGAACCATCAATTACTTCCCACAATTTCTTTTCCTGACCCACCTACTAATCCTTGTTCTACTGGAGTTGCCTTTCCATACACCCCACTGAAAGCAGAAGGAGACCTTATGTCACCCTCCCAGTTTCTCTTCCAGCCCCTGGACTCCCAGGAGTGAGAGGTGACTAAAAGAATAAAAAGGCAGATGATCAATTATTTGAGGTGTTTGGGTAGTCAGATGTTTAAAATAGCACTCCTTGGGGCGCCTGGGTGGCGCAGTCGGTTAAGCGTCCGACTTCAGCCAGGTCGCGATCTTGCGGTCCGTGAGTTCGAGCCCCGCGTCAGGCTCTGGGCTGATGGCTCAGAGCCTGGAGCCTGTTTCCGATTCTGTGTCTCCCTCTCTCTCTGCCCCTCCCCCGTTCATGCTCTGTCTCTCTCTGTCCCAAAAATAAATAAACGTTGAAAAAAAAATTTTTTTTTAATAAAAAATAAAAAAAATAAAATGAAAATAAAATAAAATAGCACTCCTTAACTCTAATACTCTCATATGATGAGTTTATTTAGTCCATTATACCTGGCTTGGAACTCTGTGAACTTCTACTAGCTCCAGGTGAAATCATGGTGGTACCTATTAAAGCAGATAGAGTGAAGCTTTAAAGTAAGTATACATTTTATCATTAGTATTTATAGACATCTCTTTTTTTTAATTTTTTTTTTCAACGTTTATTTATTTTTGGGACAGAGAGAGACAGAGCATGAACGGGGGAGGGGCAGAGAGAGAGGGGGACACAGAATCGGAAACAGGCTCCAGGCTCTGAGCCATCAGCCCAGAGCCTGACGCGGGGCTCGAACTCCCAGACCGCGAGATCGTGACCTGGCTGAAGTCGGACGCTTAACCGACTGCACCACCCAGGCGCCCCTATAGACATCTCTTATGTGCAATATTGTTTTTGGCCCTTGAATGTATCAGTGAGCAGGATATTCAAAGATCCCTCCCTTGATGCAGCTTATATTCTAGCAACTGGAAACCATCAGTGAACAATCAACAGGACAAATAACACAGTGTGACAGATATTAGGAAGTGGTATGGGAAAACAGCAAACTATGTAAAAGCTCTGGGGCTTTGGAAGGCAGGGGCTGACCAGCATGTTGCCTCCATCTTTGCTATCCAAAGACTAGCTCTGCAACACTGGGCATCTGGAAATCCATACGGAGATATCTTGAGGCTATGGAATTTCTAAGCAGGCCCAGGTGTGTGACTCTTGGCATGTTATGTTTCCCAGATGAAATGCAAGGCTCTTTCTCAGGTCAGGTGTTCACTGTAGCCACACAAACAGATTTGATAAAACCCCCAAAGCCTCACACTAAAACAGCTCACTTCCTAGAAGTTCTGTTTGGGTGGTCCCACTTCCTCCTGTGGAATTCGTGGCCTCTGATAGGGAAAAGGAAGGAAGGAAGGAGTAAAGACTAGGGTGTGGGAAAGTACACACTGTGCTGTTGTCAGAATCTATCATCCAATGGCCCAATTTTGCATGTATTTTCAGACTTACCTGTGCTGTAATTTCCAGGTTCCACAGTTTTCTCAGGGACTATACCAGTAGTACCTAAAACAAAAAAGGGGCAGCAGTCACTCAGTTCAATTGCTTGTCCACTATGGGATTTAAATAGGAATCTAAAGTTTCCATATAGCAGTAAACTATAACCCCGAGACTTTGAATTCCAAGAACTAATTCATATATACCCCGTGTAATAATTCTTTCTACAATAATTTTACTGAGAAAGTTCTCGACTATCATGTCCCTTTCTTTGGGAGGAGAGATAGGAAGTTTCCCTCCACATTACCTGTCCATCTGTCATTAGTTTGACTTCATGATGGTCTACTGAAGGTTCTTGTAAGCTCAGGAGATAAGGAGGCAATGTAATGACTGTCCTGTCCTTTTTTCTGAATTTGCTTTATATAACATATATAAATAGTGTAGATTTTTTTCAGAAAACTGTTTTTTATATCAATTCTTAGCATTTTATTTTTTTTTTTTAATATGAAATTGATTGTCAAATTGGTTTCCATACAACACCCGGTGCTCATCCCAACAGGTGCCCTCCTCAATACTCATCACCCACCCTGTCCTCCCTCCCACCCCCCATCAACCCTCAGATTATTCTGTTTTTAAGAGTCTCTTATGGTTTGGCTCTCTCCCTCTTTAACTTTTCTTTTCCTTTCCCTACCACATGGTCTTCTGTTAAGTTTCTCAGGATCCGAATAAGAGTGAAAACATATGGTATCTGTCTTTCTCTGTATGACTTATTTCACTTAGCATAACACTCTCCAGTTCCATCCACATTGCTACAAATGGTCATATTTCATTCTTTCTCATTGCCAAGTAATATTCCATTGTGTATATAAACCACAATTTCTTTATTCATTCATCAGTTGGTGCTCAGAAGACTGTTTTAAGAAGTTATTATGAAGTGCAGGTATTAGATTAGCAGCACTCACCTGTGGCTATTCCAACTCTGGTTGTTTCATTTTCTCCTAGGAAAGTTGTGGCCTCTGATGGAGAGGAGGAAAGAGTTAATTGGAGAATATTTAGGGTCATGGAAAAGATAGATGGTACTCCTGCAAAGACTAATACCAGAGGAAACATCTAACTTATGGGAGGACATGTGGAAAGTTCCCTACCATCTTGTTGACTCACCTGTGTTAGAATTTCCAGGGACAACAGTTATGCCAGGGGCTACCCTAGTGGTGCCTGAAACAAAGGAACAGCAGTGCTCATGTTTCTTTCCTAAAAACATGCCTCTAAAAGTAACCCAAGTATATCTTCTTTATATCTAACTGGCTCACTCTCTGGCCCTTCTCTGATGATGAGCCCTATGTATTTTCTTTTCACCATTTTATTACAAAGCCAGAGGCACAATGTTGTCAACCTAAGATAACTTTTCCAGAATTCTGTCTCGTCATGCTCACCTGTTTTACTCTCAGTGACGATTTGCTGATGCTACAGTGGTACCTGCTGTGGAGTGGCAACAGAAGGTATGAGTGTGCTCAGAACCCCAGACATTGGGAAAATATCTCACTCTTCATTGCTTTCTTGTGAAAAGCAAACATCTATCTATATAGGGCAGACATGTCTCCAGGGTCCATGTAGCTCTTCTCCATTTCTCCACAATAGAAAGTTTTCGTACCCTTCCCTCTTCAAATGCTTATAAGGTTTACAATTCCACAGGAAATAATTCTCAGAATAATTAGTACAATCATCCCATCTTCAGGGATTACAGCTAAGATGGTGGACTCTGTTATTAGTAGCTTTTCAGGAAAAAAAAAGTTCAAAACTGAAAAAGAACTAGTTGGCCAAATGTGCAATATTAATAAGGTAAATATGGACTGCTCCCCAGAAACCCTCTCTCTCTCTAGGCTCTCCTACAAATGCCATAATTAGTGGTAACAAGAAGACAGGAACTGGTCCCTCTCACCTGTTCTGAATCCACCTCCACTGGTGCCAACACTTTCTGTGGAAGTTGTGACCTCTTGAGGGAGGAAATGGAACAGTAAGTTCTGGGTGTTTGGGTGGTTGGAAAGAGATATTTTGTATTATTTAATCACCACAATCCTACAAAAAGCTTCATGTCCAGAGTGTCCAAACAGATGGCTTTCTTGTTATTTCAACTTTAACCTGTCTTGGGAATGCCTGTTTTAACAGATTTCTCTGGTAGTAGGCACTGAGTGGCTCACTGAGTGATACATGTTGAATGGTCCTTAATCAACAAAGGGAGAATCTAATGGATCAAGTGGATAAGTACTGAAATCAAACACTTCATTAGATAAGGACCCCAAAGGAATTTTATATCAGTGAATGAAATAAGACAAAAAAAGCCTGTCTTCAAGGAGCTAACATTTGAACGTACGTACTGAAAGAATGTAAATAAGAGCAATTGAGAAAAAGTGAGATGTTCTAAAGATTAAACTTCTTTTAAAACTGCTAAGTCTAAAAAGAGATACCAGGATGCAATAAAAGCTAAAAATTTTCATGGAAAGGATAGGTGATAAATAACACTAATAAGCTGAGAAAAAAAGCTGCCTTTTTTTAATAAGGGGCATATTTCAGAGTTATTTTCATTTATTTGATTGATTTTGCACATTTGTACACAACTGGTGTAGAATTTAACTATTATGTAAGGGAATCAATATGACTTTGTTATGATTTAAGAAGGCATAAGAATAGAAAAATCAAAAGCCCTATGCTACCAGAATCTAATTTGAAGTTCATGTTTTATTAATCTGATAAAATTGAGATTTCTATTATATTCTCTAGTCTAGTTACTGCAATACCAATTTTTTCCAAATGCACATTTATAATTTCATATTTTCTCACCTGTTACTGCAAGCTATTTTGACGTCACTAAAACTTAAACTATATTTATAAATGCACATTTTTAATTTTTCATGAAAAGATTAATTTATATTAGATTATAATTTGGGAAGAATATCACAGTCTCTTATATATTTTTCAGTGTCCAAATGGAAAACATAAAAATGCTGAAGCCACATCCTACAGAGCATGTTTTTGTCATTTTAATGTTGACTTACCTACAATTAATACTGGTGGAATTCTCTTATCTGAGCCTAAAAAAGGAAAGATTAAATTCATGTTTCCATTAAAGAATATACTTGAATTCCATTTTTTTTTTAATTTTTTTTTCAACATTTATTTATTTTTGGGACAGAGAGAGACAGAGCATGAACGGGGAGGGGCAGAGAGAGAGGGAGACACAGAATCGGAAACAGGCTCCAGGCTCTGAGCCATCAGCCCAGAGCCTGACGCGGGGCTCGAACTCCCGGACCACGAGATCGTGACTGAATCGGACGCTTAACCAACTGCGCCACCCAGGCGCCCCTTGAATTCCATTTTTAAAAATCACTTTGGTGCTTCACCTGCCATCATATATAATTTTTTTATTAAAAAACAGAGGTATGGTATTTTCATAGAGGCTGATGTTAGAAATTGAAGTCAGAGTGTGAGATCACTTGGGAGAGAAGCTGCGAAGTGCTCTGTAAGGAATCACCCATGAATTACAAATTATGAAACTGAAAGCAAAACCATTGCCTTTTTCCCAAGTAAAAGATTTACACAAATGTAATTCTTGTTTGCTGCCATTTAATGAAGATTAAGGTGTTGAATTTGGAAAATGCAAAAGTACTATTGTCAATAACAATAAAGTACATACTATGTCCAATAGTCACATCCTAGTAGCCATGATATTAATTTATAATATAATTATGGTGTTCAATATATAATTTGAAACATTTCAATTTATTTACATTTACATAGCCATAGATTGAATAAAGAATAATTATAAATTTAATCTGAATCAAATTATTGAACTATTTTCTAGTGACTAGTTTGTAAAATAAATTTATATGTCATCTTTGTAAAAGTAGTTAGAATAAGTGTAGCATAATACTTTACAAGAAAAAAAGCATAAACAATCTTTTCCTTAAATAATGGACAATTTCATCATGAACAGCTAGGTTCGGTGAGATAACCTACAAACAGAAATAATGCCTTTCTCAAGTACTATAATATATTACTAGTCCAAAATTTAAATACTAATGTGCTATCGTCTTTAATACATTTTCATTTATTGTTAAGAAAAATAATTGCCCCATAAGTTGGAATGATTCTAAAAAGAAATGAAGTGATAAAGTTTTTATTTATAAAGCAATAGTATTAGTTTTTGCCAATGTTTTAGAATTGACAAATGCCACAGTTTGTCATTATATATAAAATTTTAACCCCCTTTTTAGTACCTGCTGCTGTAGCTTGGAAATGGAGAAAATTTGAGCTTTATAAATATTAAAAGCAAGGTCTTATTGATGGATCATCAAAGATCATTTTATATTTGCCTTACAGGAGGATGGACATTGTGGGTAGGAGCACAGTCTTTGGAGTCAGTATAGAATGGATAAAAATATTGGCTCCAATATTTGATTTGCTGTAGAATATGAACAAATTTAGGTCATATCTTTTTTTTTAACGTTTATTTATTTTTGAGACAGAGAGAGACAGAGCATGAACGGGGGAGGGTCAGAGAGAGAGGGAGACACAGAACCTGAAACAGGCTCCAGGCTTTGAGCAGTCAGCACAGAGCCCGACGCGGGGCTTGAACTCATGGACCTCGATTTCGTGACCTGAGCCGAAGTCCGAGGCTTAACTGACTGAGCCACCCAGGCGCCCCTAGGTAGTATCTTTTCTAAGTTCCCCATGAGTAAAACGAGATAACAAAATTTATTCTAATAGTTAAATGAGAGAATATATTTAAGGACACTATAATTATGTAACTGGAATTATTACTAACTATTTTGCCATTTCTAATTAGCCAATAAGCATGAAAAGTGTAAAAAAAAAAAAATCTGACATCCCCTGCTTACTTACCAGTAGTGGAACTTTCTGGTGCAATTGTTGAGCCAGGGGCAGCTTCTGTGAAACCTGAAATTAAAATGAAAAGTAATGGGTCGCCTGTGTAACCCAGTCAGTTAAGCAGCTGACTCTTGATTTTGGCTCAGGTCATGATCTCACGATTGGTGAGTTCAAGCTCCTAGTCTGGCTCTGAGCTGACAGCACAGAGTCTGCTTGGGATTCTTTCTCTCCCTCTCTCTGCCCCTCCCCTGCTCATGATCACCTGTGCTCTCTCTCTCTCTCTCTCAAAAATAAATAAACGTTTTAAAAATTAAAAAAACCCAGAAAGTCATGAGCAGTGTTCTTATTTTATGGGGACACTACCTGGACATTTAACAATGTAACTACTTTGAGTTCAGGTGTTACAGTTCCAGTACCTGGTGTAAACACACCTAACAAAATATAAGGTCCTAAATGCCAGATGACTTGGATCTGATTTTCTGATTTCTACTCAAAATACACTAATATTCATCATTAGATTTATCAGGAAACCTTATTTTGTGTTACAACCTGGGCCAACACCTTCCCTTCCCACTCGCCTGATCTTCCAGGTGTGGTTAAACTGGTTATGCTTTCACCTGATTCGGTTTCTCCATATGGTTCTTCAGTTGTACCTGATTAATGAGATAATTGAAAACTATCTTTATGTGTTTCATTTTAGGAAAAACAAACCTACCACTATTTAAGTATATTTAAAATTTAGATGTTAATACTAAACCTAGAATATCTCTTAATCTTTTCTCCAAATATTTGGTGCTTGATTAATATAACAAACTCATTATCATGATGAGTCTAAGCTACACTTGCATTGGAATACCAACAGATACCTGGGTAAGGCTTGACTGCTTGTTTCCCAGCAGTGGTGGTTATAGAGCCTGATGCTCCAGCTGTGCTTCCCCTGTCTGAACCTGTTGTAGCTCCCACTGACACTCTGGTTGCACATGGTCAAAAATAAAAGTAGGAGGGATAAAAACATAAACTTCTTAAGAAGTCTGTGGACTCACTTCAAAACAATAATGTTCTACAAAGCTCCCATCTTTAGTAAACGAGTTCTAAATATTGTAATTCTGACAAATGTATATAGTTCAAAAGTAGAAATCTGAACAAAATTTAAATTGCTTACAATAAATGGTCTATTTTCAGTGAACTTGACTTGCCTTCAGATGTGGTAACCTCATTCCTTAACATCCCAGTGGTTATCCCAGTTGATGATCCACTTGTCCCTGATCCTTCTGGTGATGGTCCAGTTGTCCCTGAAACTTCATGTGATGGTCCAGTTGTTCCTGATGCTCCTGATGATGGTTGAGTTGTCCCTAAACCTAAAATAGCTGATCTAGTTGTCCTTGATTCTCCATTTGATGGTCCAGCTGTCACTGATCCTCCAGCTGGTGATGCAGTTGTTCTGGATCTTTCAGATGCTGGGATAGCTGTATCTGAAACTAAAACAAGTAGTCCAGTTGCTCCTGCTCCTCTAGATGATATTCCAGTTGTCCCTGGTGCTCCAGCTGATGGTCCAGTTGTCTCTGAACCTATAACAGATGGGGCAGTTGTACCTGATCCTCCAGATGATGATCCTGTGGTCACTGAACCTTCAGCTGATGGTTCAGTCCTCTGTGATGCTACAAATGGTCCAGTTATCCCTGAATTCACAACAGGTGGTCCAATTGTCTCTGCTCTTTCAGGTAATCTTACAGTTGTCCCTGATCCTTTAGTTGATGGTCTAATTGTCCTTGAATCACTGACTGATGATATAGCTGATCCTAATATTTCAATTGATTCAGTGGTCTGTAACCCTGATGACCCAGTTTTGGCTGATCCTTTGGTCGATGGCCCAGTTGTTCCTGGTTCTATAGCTGGTGGTACAGTTGTCCCTAATCCTTCAGATGATTGTGGAGTTGTCCCTGAACCTAAAATAGATGGTCCTGTTGTTCCTGATCCTCCAACAGATGGCTGAGTGGTCTCTGCTGCCCCAAATCCTTGTACAGTTGTTCCTGCTTCTTCAATTAATTGTCCAGTTGTCTGTGATTCTCCTATGGATGGTCCAGTAGTCTCGGACCTTACAACAGAGGTTTCAGTTGTTTCTGATAATCCAGAAAATATTCCAGTTGTCCTTGATCCTTCAGCTGAAGGTCCACTTGTTCCTAACTCATGTAATGTTCCAGATGTCCCTGTAAATCCTGCTGATGGCAAAGATGTTCCTGATTCTACAACAGATGGTCCAGTTGTCCCAAATCCACCCATTGATTGTCCAGTTGTCTTTGATATACCTACTGATGATATAGTTGTTCCTAATAGTTCAGATGGTGGTCCAGTGATGGATATATCTCCAGATGATGATCCACTTGTCCCAATCACTCCATGTGATGGTTCAGTTGTGCCTGAACCTATAACGGATGGTCTAGTTACCCTTGATTCTTCAGATGATGGCAGGGTTGTCCCTGAACCAAAACTTGATGATCCTGTCATTCCTAACAATCCAGTAGATGGTCTTGAGGTCTCTGATCCTAGGGCTGATTGTACAGTTGTCTTTGATTCTTCAGTTGATTGTTCAGTTGTCCATGATCCTACTATAGATGTTGCAGTAGTCTCTAACATTGCAACAGAGGTTTTGGTTGTTTCTGATACTCCAGCTAATGATCCAGTTGTCCTTGATCTGCTAGCTGATAGTCCTATAGTCCCTGATCCTCTAGCTGCTGTTTCAGTTGTCCCTGATCCTAAAACTGGTGGTCCAGTTGATTCTGTCAATCCTGGTGCTGATGAAGGTATTCCTAATCCTACAACGGATGGTGCAGTTGTCCCTGATCCTCCAGTAGATGGTTGACTTGTCCTTGATATTCCAACAGAAGATCTAGTTGTTCTGAATACTTCAGTTGATGATCCAGTGGACCCAGATTCCCAGGATGACAGTCCACTTGTGACTGATCCTGTAGCAGAGACTCCAGTGGAGCCCGACTTTACCAATAAAGGTCTAGTTGATCTTAATTTTTCAGAAGATGGTAAGGTCGTCCCTGAACCTAAAATAGATTGTCCTGTAGTTTCTGGTCCTCCATGGAATAGTCCTGTAGTCCCTGACCCTCCAGATTCTAGACCTGTTGCCCCTGCTTCCTCAGCAGATTGTCCAGTTGTCTGTGTTCCTCCTATGGATGTACTCATAGTTGCTGAACTTACAACAAAGATTTCAGTTGTTTCTGATCTTCCAGAAAATGATTCAGTTGTCCCTGATCCTTTAGCTGATGGTCCAGTTGTTGCTAAACCAGCTGATGGTCCAGGTGTCCCTGTCAATCTTGACAGGAGAGATGTTCCTAATCCTACAGCAGATAGTCCAGTTGTCTCTAACCCACCAGATGATAGTCCAGTTGTCCTAGATATACCAGGTGATGATCTAGTTGTTCCTAATTCTCCAGCTGATGGTCCAATTGTCCCTTTCACTTCAGATGATGGTCCAGTTATGCCTGTCAGTCCAGATGATGCCCCAGTTGTCCCTGAACCTACAACAGGCAGTCTAGTTGTCCCTGAAACCAAAACAGATTGTCCTGTTGTTTCTGATCCTTCATGGAATTGTCCTGTGGTCCCTGAACCTCCAGCTGTTGGTCCTGTTGTCCCGGCTTCTTCAACAGATTTTCCAGTTGACTGGATTCCTCCTATGTAGGGACCACTAGTACCTGAACTTATAATAGAGATTGATGTTGTTTCTGATCTTCCAGCAAATGATCCAGTTGTCCCTGCTCCTTCAGCTGATGGCCCAGTTATTCCTAACCCATGTGACGGGCTAGATGTCCCTACCAATCCTACTGATGATACAGATGTTCCTGACTCTACAACAGATGGTCCTGCTGTCATCCCAGATCCACCCATTGATAATCCAGTTGTTTCTGATATACCAGCTGATGAACTAGTTGTTACTAATTCCTCAGCTGATGGTCCAGTTATTCCTGTCATTCCAGATAATGGTCCAGTTATGCTTTCCACTCTAGATGATGGCACAGTTGTCCCTGAACCTACAAAAAATCTTCCAGTTGTTCCTGACCCTCCTCGAAACGGTCCTGTTGTCCTTGCTTCTTTAGCTGACAGCCCATTTGTCTGGATTCCTCCATTGTAGAGACCACTAGTACCTGAATTTACAGTAGAGGTTGCTGTTGTTTCTGATCTTCCAGTGAATGATCCAGTTGGCTCTGGACCAGACATCCCTGTAAATCCTATTGATGGTACAGATGTTCCTGATTCTACAAAAAATGGTCCTCTTGTCATTCTAGATCCACTTGTTGATGGTCCAGTTGTCTCTGATATACCAGCTGATGATCTGATTGTTCCTAATACTTCAGATGATGGTCCAGTGGAATCAGATACTCCAGATGACAGTCCAGTTGTGGCTGATCCAGTAGCTGATACTCCAGTTGTGCCTGTCTTTACCAATGAAGATCTAGTTGTCCTTATTTCTTTAGAAGATGGTAAGGTCATCCCTGAACCTAAAGTAGATTGTTTTGTTGTTCCTGATCGACCATGGAATGGTCCTGTGGTCCCTGATTCTCCAGCTGCTTGTTCTGTTGTCCTTGCTTCTTTGGCTGACAGTCCAGTTGTCTGTGATCCTCCTGTAAATGGACCAATAGTCGCTGAACTTACAACAGAGGTGGAAGTTGTTTCTGATATTCCAGAATATACTCCAGTTATCCCTGATCCTTCAGCTGATGATCCAGTTGTTGCTAATCCAGGTGATGGACCAGAGGTCCCTGTCAATCCTACTGATGGTACAGATATGCCTGATCCTACAAAAGATGGTCCTGTTGTCAACCCAGATCCACTCATTAATGCCCCAGTGTTCTCCGATATACCGGCTAATGATCTACTTGTTCCCAATTCCATAGTTGATGGTCCAGTTATTCCTGTCACTCCAGATGATGGTACAGTTGTTCCTGACAAAACAACAGATTTTCTTGTTGTTTCTGAACCTAAAACAGAATGTACTGTTGTTCCTGATAATCCATGGAACAGTCCTGTGGTCCCTGAAGCTCCACCAGCTCGTCCTGTTATCCCAGTTTCCTCAGCAGGTGGTCCGGTTCTATGAGATCCTATTGTGGACAGACCAGTAATCCCTGCACTAAAAACAGAGGTTTCAGTTGTTTCTGATATTCCACCCAATGACTCAGTTGTCCTCGATACTACAGATGATTGTCCAGTTGTTGCAAATGCAGGTGATGGACCATAGGTCCCTGTCAATCCTGTTGATGGTACAGATGTTCCTGATCCAACAACAGACATTCCAGTTGTCCCTGAACCTCCAGAAAATAGACCAGTTGTACTTGATATATGAGTTGATGATCTAGTTTTACCAATTACTTCAGATGATGGTTCAGTGGACTCAGATACTCCAGAGGACAGTGCAGTTGTGGCTGATCCTGTAGCCAGTACTCCAGTTGTGCTGGACTTTACCAATGAAGGTCTCGTGGTCCTTATTTCTTTAGAAGTTGGTAAGGTTGTCCCTGAACCTAAAACAGGTTGTCTTGTTGTTCCTGATCGTCCATGGAATGGTCCTGTGGTCCCTGATATTCCAGCTGCTTGTCCTGTTGTCCCTGCTTCTTTGGCCGACAGTCCAGTTGTCTGTGATCCTCCTGTGGATGGACTGGTAGTGCCTGAACTTACAATGGAGGTTGCAGTGGTTTCTGATCTTCCAGCCAATGACTCAGTTGTCCTCAACCCTACAGATGACTGTCCAGTTGTTGCTAAACCAGGATATGGACCAGAGGTCCCTGTCAATCCTGCTGATGGCACAGATGTTTCTGATCCTACAACAGATGGTCCAGTTTTCCCTGACCCACCAGAAAATAGGCCAGCTGTACTTGATATACGAGTTGATGATCTAGTTGTTCTGAATGCTTCAGATGATGGCTCAGGGGACTCAGATACACCAGGTGACTGTCCAATCGTGGCTGATCCTGTAGCTGATATTCCAGTGGTGCTGGACTTTACCAATGAAGATCTAGTTGTCCTTATTTCTTCAGATGATGGCCCAGTCGTCCATGAACTTAAAACGGATTGTCCTGTTGTTCCTGAACGTCCATGGAATGGTCCTGTGGTCCCTGATCTTCCAGCTGCTTGTCCTGTTGTCCGTGGTTCTTTGGCTGACAGTCCAGTTGTCTGTGATCCTCCTGTGGATGGACTAGTAGTGCCTGAAGGTACAATGGGGGTTGCAGTGGTTTCTGATCTTCCAGCCAATGACTCAGTTGTCCTCGATCCTACAGAGGACTGTCCAGTTGTTGCAAACCCAGGTGATGGACCAGAGGACTCTGTCAATCCTCCTGATGAGACAGATGTTCCTGGTCCTACAACAGATGGTCCAGTTGTCCCTGAACCTCCAGAAAATAGTCCAGTTGAAGTTGATATAGGAGTTGATGATCTAGTTGTTCTGAATACTTCAGATGATGATTCAGTGAACTCAGATACTCCAGAGGACCGTCCAGTTGTGGCTGATCCTGTAGCTGATATTCCAGTGGTGCTGGACTTTACCAATAAAGGTCTGGTTGTCCTTATTTCTTCAGATGATGGCCCAGTTGTCCATGAACTTAAAACAGATTGTCCTGTTGTTCCTGAACGTCCATGGAATGGTCCTGTGGTCCCTGATCTTCCAGCTGCTTGTTCTGTTGTCCCTGCTTCTTTGGCTGAAAGTTGAGTTGTCTGTGATCCTCCTGTGGATGGACTGGTAGTGACTAAACTTACAATGGAGGTTGCAGTGGTTTCTGATCTTCCAGCCAATGACTCAGTTGTCCTCGATCCCACAGATGACTGTCCAGTTGTTGCAAACCCAGGTGATGGACCAGAGGTGCCTGTCAATCCTGCTGATGGGACAGATGTTCCCAGTCCTACAACAGATGGTCCAGTTGTCCCTGAACCTCCAGAAAATAGTCCAGTTGAAGTTGATATAGGAGTTGATGATCTAGTTGTTCTGAATACTTCAGATGATGGCTCAGGGGACTCAGATACTCCAGATGACCGTCCAGTTGTGGCTGATCCTGTAGCTGATATTCCAGTGGTGCTGGACTTTACCAATGAAGGTCTAGTTGTCCTTATTTCTTCAGATGATGGCTCAGTTGTCCATGAACTTAAAACGGATTGTCCTGTTGTTCCTGAATGTCCATGAAATGGTCCTGTGGTCCCTGATATTCCACCTGCTTGTTCTGTTGTCCCTGCTTCTTTGGCTGACAGTCTGGTTGTCTGTGATCCTCCTGTGGATGGACTGGTAGTGCCTAAACTTACAATGGAGGTTGCAGTGGTTTCTG